ACTTTTTTAATTTTGTTAAAAAACGAAAGTTAAAATAAAGATTTTAAAAGGTTTTCGCAAAAAAAAAAAAAAAAAAAAAAATGGCAACTGTATTCTGACTATACAACATCTTAGAAAAACATCCACATGTCCTCAACATGACCTGAACAGACAGTTACTTTATCACCAACTAGGTGTGATTCAGAGCTCTTGGCATTTGAGTAAAAACTACTCCACTGCATATTTCATTCACCATTTTCTTTCACAGTTTCACCCCAAAGGGAAGTTATATTAAGCCACAAATAAAATTCTCCAACTCGGGGACAAAAAAGAAAAAAAAATGCACTAATGTAAAGAATGATCTAATAGGATTTCTTTCATAGCCTCACCACACTCTTGTTCCTACAGCTGTTCAAATTGAGATTTATGCAGTCACTGTGTCTGTGAGTCACCGTCCCATGGGACAAGAGGAGATCGTGTGTGTAAAAATGAGGGTGAGAAAGAAATGGGCAGCAAAGGGGAAAAGACACACAGCACAAAGCAAAGGAGGCGGAGGCGGGAGAGGGTGTGAGTCATAAGACCCGGCTGGTGGAAGGTGATGATGCACAAGTTGCTATTTCTGGAGTCGCCATCAATTCAGTATTATCGCTTCCCCTGGCCACTTGCTGTTATTGTATGTGTGTGTGCGTGTGTGTGGCCATGTTAATAGGGCTCTGTAAAGCACTCTGCCTGATTGATTATAATTCTGCAGGATATAATGAAAGCTATGAGAAACACCCTTGAAATTTAGGTTTGTTTTGAGAGGTAACATGTCTTTAAATAATTTTTGTTTGTTTAATGGAATATATTTAAAATAAGTAAACAGTGTAATTGCAAACAAATGCACCTCAATTCGGAAAATGTAATTAAATTATATTTATAAACATTCCTTATGTTCCTTATTCCTTATTGATTGGCACCCTGTTTTAGTCTTAAATATGCATTAAGGAAATATTTAACGAATACACAAAAATCTCTGATTCAAATCCACCATTTTTTATTTATTGCTGTAACCTTAAAACGTTCTGAAGAACTAAATTTTAAGTTTGCATGAGCTGAGAGACATGAAAAGCATCACAAATGCACATTTGATATGTGTCAATCTGTGTGTAATGAATTTATATAACTTTAAAAAAAAAATAATAAACTACTGAAACAAACAACCTTTTTGTTGATATTCTTGTTTAGCGAGACGCACAAAGCGAAACATCAAATCACACTTTTTATGAGCTGCGAAAATATGATTTTTATTGTGTCCTTTGAAAAAGAAGCATACTGTAGATACAGTGATACATCTTGTTTTAATCCAAAAGATGACACTCTTATTACTGGCTGGGATGAGGGACTCTTACATCTATATAGATGTATAAGAATAGAGCAAATCAGGTAGAAGAAAATAATTCAGAATACAATAAAATAAAAATAATAATAAAAAACAACACAAATTGTGGTTTTGAATACAACAGTACAGCAGTTCATAATCAGCACAATCACTGATCAGTTACTAAGGTTTAGACCATTACTGGAGGGTTCATAGCACATTTTGTTTTTACCAGCTCTGATTCTGCTCTGTGGTTCAGTAAGCCTCACGAACATATATTTTATCATTAACATGTATGATTTGAACCAAATAGTTTAAAATTAATTTTGCTGCACTTTGTAGAAAGACTGCAGGTTGTATAAATGATAACAAGAGGTCAATTTACATGGATATATGTGACCAACAAAGCAGTTTATCAGTTGATGCTGATAATACCCTGAAGTGCTGCTGCATTCATTTTACAGCCTGATAGTGTAAATGAGCTTGATATGATGGTCTGTTCTAGCATTGTTCTGATGAGCTGCAGTGCAAACAATCCGTCCTATTAGTCATTTCTTCTGTAATTCAGTAGATCAAACCAAAACAGTAACAGCAACAATAGGAGAAATGACTCAAAAAGGGGGAGGATCACAATTTGGGAATATATTTACATTAACACAAGATCGTAAGCAGGGAAAAAAAAAAAAAAAAAAAAAAAAAAAAAGTTAATTTGCACTATCTGTGCTTGTAAAATCCAGTTAGGTCTGAAGGACTAACCTGAATGACCTAATAAAAACAAAAAAACACTCATAACATTAACTCTCATACACAGCAAATAGATTCAAATCTGTTGTGATTATATAATCTATTACTTTTCTTGCATTGCACATGATCAGGTTCAGCTGGAAAGTGACAGTATAATTTCAATTTTTGGAAGTGACAATGTTATTGGGCATCTATGAATCACAGCCGCTCTTCCATCATAGCTGTCAAATGTGATGCTGTTGCTCATCAGGAAGATTAGCGCATCCCTGTCAGCTATCCGCCGGTTATGTAACCTGAAAGTTGTGTTTGTCTCACTGCAAAGTACTTGTTTTATTTTAGTCTTTGCAAATAGAGCTAGATAGATGCAAAATGGTTTAAAAGGAGCTATGAATTTCATGGATACATGTTTTTATAGGCTTAAATTTCAAATAGTAAGAAAGAAAGGGAAGTTAGGGGGGAGGGAGGGACCAACAGTCCATAATTTTAAGAAATGACACTGGGAGCTGTTTTTTTTTTTTTTTGTCAAACCACTTTGTTCAGTGCGTTTTCTTTTTGTGTGATATAGATTGTTTCTGTGCATCCAAGCTCAGTCTATTGATCCCGTCTGAAGGTTTATTGAAGAAATTAGGTTAGAGGAGTAACAAGCCAGAAGAAAATGTCAGTGTCCTGCTTGTGAATTCTATTTAATTGTGCCTTTTTGCCAAAAAATAAAATATTTGCACTTTTTCTCTGGCGGTCTAAAATATTACATCTCTGGCTTGTTGACAAATAGAACCAAAAAAGTAGCACTCGTGATCTAATGTAGCGTCGCACTAATGACCATGTTAAAAATCAATTTGAGCTTTTTCAAGTTGAGCGTTGGAACAACTGAGCTGCTCCGTTCAGCTCCTCTTTCTCATTAACATCCTCTGTCACTTCCAAAGATGTTTATCGCCGTCAAAAACAATGCTATGTTCTTCTTGACTGGATGCTGCTTTTTAATTTCCTCCTCAGATGCTTTTCCTGCATGGCGTTGTCACCGCTCAGTGAGTTTTTATCGCTATGGTTCGAATGACAACATCAGACGGTTAACAGTTGTGTTAACTGTAAAAAATGAAGCTATCAAAAACGACAACCAAAAAGAAAAGACCCAGCAGCCACTTAAGCTGGCCTTTTTTTTCTTCTTTTTTTTTTAAAGATAAACTGCTCGTTAAGATGAACACTCACGTGTGCCCTCAATTATACACATTCTACACACAGTTCAATCCTATTTCACTTTGTGTCTTTCTTTATCGGGGCGCCGATCAGGTCTCTGCTTTCGTGGCCACGGGTTGTATGTTCTGAACTTTGGAGAGCGTTACAGGCACCTTTCCCTCCCCAGGAGTTGGTGCTCGCATTATTGATGAACCTGTGACACAAACAGATGCTTTATTCATATTCAATGACTTGAAAAATGTCATATTCATCAATCCTTTCATCGCATGAGCCAGCTTACCAACTGTTGCGTGGAGATCTGCTAAACGCTCCTTAAACTTGTGCTGCAGGTACAGTTCGTCTTTGGAGTAGCTCTTGGCAAAGGCAGACAGCAGAAGACCCACAGCCATGGAGGTGCCGCCCACACAGAACAGCACCGCACCAGTCAGTTTGCAGATGTCCAGTGCACGGTTGAAACTGACAGCGTAGCTGTTCCAAAACAAGTTTTTTACGGTCAGTTATCGAGTATAATCTGTCCATTTTTGCACACTGCAACAACAAATGCGAGATGCAAAAACCAAACCAGATTAGAGATCGGTTTAGGCGGGTAAATAGCTTAGTTAAGTTTGTATCCTGCTTTCTTGGTATCTTACACTGTGAAAAATATACCACAAAACTGGACCATGTGATGGTCCTATCTGCAATATTTTAGATCCAAGTTGAATGCAAAGTCAATCAAGTCCCAACCCATATTTTATTTGGAGCACACGCTCAGGTGGGACTCAACTAACAGAGCAGCAGAGCCCTGAGCTGTGCAGCGTGCTGCTACGATACTTCTCATTAAGATTTATGACGATAAAAAGCAAAGCACTCATTTAATGAAACACGAGAACAGCCCTTTCTGTAAGTGATGTCCATGCATGATTAATTAGATCTGCAAATGAAGCATGTCATAGAACAACTTAACAAGGCATATAAAACAGAGATGAAGCAAATCAATGTTAGCATCTCCGTAAAACTCTCCCTATGCAAACATTGCCAACAGACCCAGATCCACATTTACTGGAGGGTTTTTGTATAGCTGTATGTGTAAAGTCAGATAGTCCTTTAGAAATAAATGATAAAGTTGTGTTTGAGGGAACTTGTACAAATATTAAAGAAGCTTAAGAAAGCATGTCCCAGAAACTCAGTGTGGAAAAAAAAAAACTACTGACCACGTAAAAAGAAAAACCCTCTGTAATCATACCAGATCATTGAACTGTTGAGATTTACACATTTACTATAAGAGTAGATATGTCAGAACAATGACATAGATCCAAATTAAATGCAAAGTCAAATATGAATTTGTAAAAAAAAAAAAAAAAAAAAAATCACTCAAAAATTAAAATAAATGGCAAAAAAAAGAAAATCTGTTAAAAGAAAACATGTAAACAGTTATGGATGCAGATTGCCATTTCTTTTGCCAACTTAATTCAATGAATTTTGCCATTATTGGTCATTTTGGGTTTTTGACCTTTGAAAGATCAGCTTTGGTCCTCTGAGCATGACTGTTAACGAAACCCTGACCTGTTTAGTTGGGATTAACTAATAAAACTGCTTTCTTCTCTGTGATACATCTTGGTACTGGTTATATACCTGTCAACAAAGAGGAGATCATCTTCACCAAATGCTTCAGTCATAGTTGGTGTTGCGTAACCCACCAAAACAACAATAAGGCCTGTAACCAGGATCAGCGTTCCGAACGTCAGACAGACCTGCAAGGCGGGAGAGAAGTCAGTTAACGAAATTGTTACTTTTTTTTTTTTATCCAAGAAACATTACATGACACAAGCTACGGATTTCGTTGCACGAGTCAAACGTTCATCTCACCTTCCAGAGTAAAGAGCTCCACCTGCTTGGCGATCTCTGAATCTGAAAATCTTCATCACGTTCCCAGATAGAACCTGTGCACTCCTCATAGAACTGAAAGGAAGCAGAGTTTATCAGTTTCTTCTTTGCTGTTAAAGAACAGAAACTGAAGCCCACATCACATTCGGATGACTCTAGCTCTGATGCAGATTTTATGTTCAAAATAATTTTTTTGGATACTGGGCTAGGATTTCCATGAAAATAGTTTTTCTATCTGCTTATTATTATTACTATTTTCTATTCAGTTACCTGGTGGAGGTAGGAGCGGACTCCGTACTGTTGGCTGTTTCCGCCGGATTGAGCCTGCTCGCTGTATTCCGACCCACAGATCTCTGAGCACGAAGTCATCCTTCACACCCGTCTGCAGAATGCACACGGACAGACATGGCATGAAGCCTTACAGCCATACTTCCAATACAATCCCCTTATCCCCCACACACAACACAATCTGAAGACAGATCGGATAGGGTTCTGTCATGCAAGTGCACACACACGGGCATAAATGCCACCAAGTTATGTAACACACTGGAGGCATCTGATACCACGTGCCCCAGTCCACTGAGATCAGCGAAGCATCCTCCTTGTGTGACTTTGTGAAACAAACTAGGGCGTCTTTGCCTTCATGTCCAGTAGCACTTCAACTGTACACAGTTAATTACTTTCTGTATTGTATCTCAAGAAAAAAAAAAGTAACATCTAAATCCTTTATACCTGCTTTAAAAACATTGATTCTGTGTTTAGTTATTTGTATTCATACACAATACTTCTTACTCATCCTCTCATGCAGCAGAAACAAAACATGAACAGCACTGGATACTTTAGAGCATTCATAAAACTGATGGAGCAGTCAAGCAATGTTAGGCAGTGATCGATAAATAAACTGAAATTTCTTATTTTCTCCTGTTCAGAAGATTCATCAAGTGTCTATTTAACTCATCAACATGCTACTGTCGCAGTGTTTTTCTTCCACAGGGATTTGTGGGACATACTTTGATGGTCATCGTCTTATAATCTCTTCGTTTATGTTGTTTGGCGGATTCAAATCTGTCACTGTCACAACGAAAAGAAAACAATTAATTGTAGGGCTTTAAGGTGTAAATTTAAATTGATTTTATTTTAAGGTGTCCTAAACCCCCAGTCAACGTTGTCCACCATGTTATTGTTTCCAACATGGAAATGTTAGTGAAACGTTAAATATACTTTAAAAAACTCATCACATACAAATACACATAAAAGTCTACAGGACATTTTTTTTTTTTTTAATATCAGAGATGATCACATTTAACTAAATTAAAACCAAAATCAATTTAAATGTGTTACAGTCTTTAGACAGAAAATTTGAAGCCTGAAACTGGGCCAACAAAAGCATCTTTGGTATAGACATTATTTTTTTTTCTGATTATTGTAAGAACTCTCTGGTATATGTATATATCACGGATAGTGGAAGTTAAGATTGAATTCTAAATGTTGAATATCTCATGTCCATAAACTAACAACGTAAATGTGTACATTTCATCATAAGTTAGTTGTGATGGAAGACCATAACCATATGAAGACCACATGAATGTTTAACCCATATGCTGTTTATCCTCATGGACATCTGCACCTACAGCATGAAAATAAAAATGGAGGGATGGAACTAGTTAAATTAGGTGTGAAAGATCAGAGATTTCAAAGCTACACTTCAAATGAAAATGTGAGATTGGAAACATTATCAAGGGATTTATTTATTTATTTATTTATTTGTATTGTTTCGTACTTTGACACGTTTCTTCCTCTAGAAGTTGAGGTACAAAGCGTACTAAAAGCCACAGATGCAAAAAAAAAAAAAAGGGAAGAAAGAAGAAAACTGTTCCTCCAGACCAATGAAGGAACAAGTGCTAAAACACACCGAAAAATCGTAAACAATAATATGACAACTCCGTAAAGACGCCTGTTCCGACCGGCTGCGGTATCCTTGCCTCCAACAAGCTGTGTGTACCACATAACCCGGAGCTGTCTGTGGTGCTGAACGCCATTATCATCAAGCTACCCTCAGCGCAGCAGGAAAACATACAGACGTAATGTGTGACGCCAGACTGAAAACAGACCCCAGCTATTCGTCCCCCAATGAGACGCAAACAGACACACAGCACGTTTTTTTTTCTCCAATTCAACTCACAAAACGTGAACTTTGCATCAAAGTAAGTCCCATCGTATCTGAAGTACCCGGGAACCGTATTTTTTTAAGCAATTAATTAGAGCCGAAATCTTTTTTTTTTTTTTTTAATCGAAGTTTTAGTTCATTTGATTACAGACCAAAACACTCGCAAACCTTCGAGGATAAATAGCACAAATCAACACAAAGTTTGAAACAGCACTTGCTCTGTAATTTTGTACAATGCGCACTCAGCTCACCGCGGACGCCACCTTTGATTCCGATTTCAAAAAGCCAGTTATCCAACTCTACGTTTACACTCCTATGAAGATAAAACCAGACCATAAAAGAAAAGAAAAAAAACAAACAAACAAAACAACAGCAATAAATTTACCTTTCATCACCAGCTCGGAGAGTGATCGCTCGCTGCTGTTTCCTCAGCCGGGTCCCATCACTCTACAGTTACCCCCCTTCTTTCCCTCCCTTACTTACCGTCGATGATTCAGATTTTCACGTTGTCTACTGCGCAGGCGTGACCTCCATGACAACATATGATTCATCAGTGAGTATAAATAACCAGGCGGGAGGGTTGTGAGGAAAGGAAGAGAGTTTTATGAATGGATGGATAGATAGATCTATCTATATGGATTTATCTTACGCATATTCATCGTCTCCAAAGGTATGACCTGAAAAGTCAGAAACTACGTAATGACTCAAATATAACTCGGTACAATAAACAATCCTCCACAGAAAACCGTTTCATGATTCATTTATTTGGGCTGACATTTCAAAGGGAAATTAGTTTTTGACATTTCAACCTTGAAGGTTTTTGAATCTTTCTGTGGATAGATATCTTGACAGACAAAAAAAAAAAAAAAAAAAAAAAAAAAAAAAAAAAAAAAAAAAAAAAAAAATTTTAAAAAAAAAAACGGGGGGATAA